TATTATCTTTAATATAAATGATAATTTAAATAAAAATAACATTTATGTATTCATAAAATAGTTGCATACATACTATTAGGCCCCAGCCGCGCCAGCTAGTCTACTTTTGCGTACATATTTTATTCATTCATGTAGCTTACTTATTCTTGATTTTAATGTATTTTTTCCTCAAGTGTGAGGAGAAACGATATTCTCGCCCCTTTATTAGGATGGGAGAGAGAGGGGGCGATCGCCCTCCGAAGTCTACGCCTATGTCAAGCTACCGTGATTTCAGGCCACACCCCCGGACAGTTAACAGGAGGTCTGTTAATTGAAGTTTTTGCTAAATATGAACCTTTTTTAATTATTTAAAAGATACAATCTGAATCTGGTATACGTTCATTGTCATTTTAATTCTATTGCAACCCAAATTTAAGCGATATTTTTTTCCCAACTCACCTCAACTAGGATGGGCTGTAGGGATCCAAAAAAATAATTTTGACGAGCCGATATTTCGAGTGATATATACGCTAAATTTAAAGATTCTTCTCTATCTATGAAACAACAATACGTCAGTGAATTTTGGTTCAGTGCAAATGTCAATTATTGTCATAGCAATTGTAATTTTTTTTTTTAATTTATTTCTTCACCCACACCTGTCATGAGTGATGATAATCAGCGAGTCTGCTATCGAGAAGAGTACAGATAGTGGTTTGATCGGCGTGAGGGATAGGAGTATCCAAGCGGAATACCTCCTTATCTTGATTTTAGTGTACTTTTAGGTCAAGGATATTCAGCTTCTTTTGAGCCTCCTTTTCGGGCTTATTTAATGTGGCCATCTTGTAACAGTTTGTTAGCATGTCAGAGTAAGTTATCGTGAATTTTTTTGTAGTGTGTCCGTATGTGGTCGTTAACTGTTGGAATCTGAAGGTATTTATGTAATGTAATGTTTGTTACTTACCATGAAGCTTTAGTTATCGTCCTGAACGTTTTTTGCGGAAAAGCTTTCAAATAGGCTATGAACATTTAGAGTAGATGTTCAGTTTTTGTTTGAAGTATAATTTTGAACCTCCTCAGAGAAGTGAGTGAAAATAGTTGTAGTCTTAACTTATAGTTTAGGATATCTATTTATTTATTTTTTCGTTTGGGCTGTATCGACACTTATTTTAATAAATAATTTGTCATTTATAATACATTATTGATAGTCACCGTTTTTATAGGTTCATTCAACTTTCAGGTATAAAATTCTAAAACAAAAAAAGGAACTTTATTTATATTTTATTTGAAATCATTGCTCGCTATTGGTGATAATAAAACAGAAAACAACTTTAAAATGAAATTTCTAAATCTAAATTTAGTATTAAAAATCACATGGACCTTAAATAATAATCTGGAGAATACGAATTGCTTAATTTCGGGAAGAAATAGATTTATTTCCAAATTCTTCGGAAGGTTTGATGGCCTTGTATACTCCAATTAAGGCTGGAAAGCTGAACATCTGTGTTGGCACACCAGTTTACAGGCCTGTCTTGCAAGTTTCGCTGATATCTTTTATTATTTATTTTTATTTTTTGGGTTTCGTATACATACTTAGAACTCTGAACAGAGGGCAGTAATAGTGATTGAATTGCATTCATTCTATTTTAATTCATAACTTACGTTTAAAAAATAAGTCAAAACTCACCCACATACGAACCCATAAACGAATATTACAAACCTTTCAAAGATTCATAATTATAACTAAATATCTTGTTACTTGGTATGTCATAAACATCACTTTAGGTAAAGACCTTCATAATGATACATAAAATGATATACAAGATTTCGTGAGAACTTACAAGATTATACTAACACATTCATATTCGGCTACAATTAACGATAACCATAACACGATTAGAAAGCTCAAAAGAAGTTAAATGAGAATAAAGGATCTCCTCCCTTAAAAATCCATAGTAAAATTAAGATGCCGCTGGGCACTCCTCTCTATATCAATGGCTTACTTCTTCCACCATTCTAGCTTATTCCTCTAGCATTCATGTGCTTTTTGTCCTTCCTCGTGGTTTTATATAAATATATATGGTATCACTTATGATATATTTTTTAACATACATATATACACATTGTAATATTATTTAAATCGATTTTCTGTAATCAGTTTACTTAGTTGAAAATTGAAACAAATTTGGGCCTGGCAAGAGCCCGCTTCAGAGATAGAAGACACACTATCTAATCTAGAAATTTTTTTTCCTCGCAGCGCAGTGTAAATGTTTGTCATCACAGAAAAAAGACAAGAGCTGCTATCTGTTGGCTATGGCCTGCTTCTTATCTACTGTCCAAAGAGAGAGAAAAAAACTTATTCAAATAAACTGATTTCTTCTTCAAAAGTACACTTCGGTCTTCTTGGGAGAACTCGAGTTAAGTAAGTCGGTGCTCAAAGTATAATCTCAATATTTTACCGAAAAAATATAATATTTAGTCATTTAGTTTGATTAGCATCAAGGCTATGAAATTTTAGTGATATTTATAATACTATTTTTTTAAGTTGACGAAGTTTAATAGATACCGAAAACGTTATTTTTATTTTTATTGTTTGGCAATAATAACTTCCAATTGGTAACAATTGAGTGTATATTTATTATCAATGTTACATGTTAACACTTAGTTGACGTTTCGGGATATTTATTCCCATCTTCGGAACTGCAATCCCAATACTCTTGTGGATACAAGGCTTAAATTTAATAATAATAATGTGCTCCATCGTCAAATTTCTAATTCATGTTCTAAAATGTATCATCTAGAGCAACATCCTCCTTTTGACCAATAATTGGGTTTCTCCCTAAAAGGAGGATGTTGCTCTAGATGATACATTTTAGAACATAAATTAGAAATTTGACGATGGAGCACATTATTATTATTAAATTTAAGCCTTGCATCCACAAGAGTATTGGGATTGCAATTCCGAAGATGGGAATAGATATTCCGAAACGTCAACTAAGTGTTAACATGTAATGTTGATAATAAAAATATACTCAATTGTTACCAATTGGAAGTTATTATTGCCAAACAACTAAAATAAATAGACAACTTCCCAGAAAAAAAGAAAAAAGAAGTTATTTTTATTATAAATATATGCTTAAGACGATACTAATATAATATAAATTATTACAATTCTATCATCAAAATATGTATGGTACATTAACTTAGAAACAACATTTGATTTTCTTATATTTAATTTTGAAGTTAGGCATTATTGACTGACTGAAGTGGGATGAATACAGGAAAATAATTGTTTAAAATTTCATAAAGGAAGGAGATGGTCCGGGGTGGCGGTCATAAATAGGCTAAACAGTGGCAAAACTATTTTATTAAAAGCCAACGTTTCGACCCGACTTTAGATGTCTTCTTCAGGGAGGTGTGTTCAGCTAGGAGTTTCACTTAGAACTCAACTCTAAGCGAACTCAGTTCTAAGTGAAACTCCTAGCTGAACACACCTCCCTGAAGAAGACCTGCAAAATCGGGTCGAAACGTTGACTTTTAATAAAATAGTTTTATCACTATTTAGCCTTTTTATTACCGCCACCCCGGACCATCTCCTTCCTTTATAATGCAACTGTCAACTATTAAATATTCGATTTAAACTTTCATGTTCCTATTCGATTTTCATTTGTTTAAATGTTATTGGCTAATGATAAATAAATGAAATTTCACAAATAAACAATCCTTCATACATGTAAAAAAAATCACAATGATGATACATGTATGAATAATTGTCAGAGATGGGCAAGTGCTACTCTTAGTAGCAAGTATTTTGCTCAAATTAAATCACTATCGAGAATTCAATCACTACTTCAGTCAATCCTTTGACATCAAATGAAGTAGTAATTAAATTCTTTGTTACTCAAAAAAATTTGAGTAAAATACTTGGTACTCAGTAACTCAAAGTAGCTCAAACAGGTCATTTATAGAATCGCCTCGATGTTCCTCTGAACATCAAAATGCTAATGCACTTTCAGGATGATGAAGCTCCCGCTCATTTCGCTTTACATGAAAGGTTTCCTGGGCGTTAGATTGGACGCGGTGGTCCAATTAGTTGATGTTCAAGATCACCTGATCTCACTGTACTGAATTATTATTTATGGGACTGGTTCAAAGATGAAATATATAAAGTAAAACTAGACACTTGGAATGCATTAATTCAATGTATTAAATATGTAACAGGTAACATTAAACTCTTCGAGGACAAAACCGGTTCAGAAGGCAATGGTGATATTTTCTTGCATTTATTTTAATAAGACCTCCATGATTGAAATGATAATACATGTATGAAACATTGTTTTATTATTTTTTTTTTTTTTGTAATTACCTTGTGAAACCGGACAAGGACATATGAGTTTTTTGTATTATTTTCCTCCGTGTAACCCACTACTGACTTGTTCCTCTTGACTCATCTTATATAATGGTTCTGATAATAATAAAGCTGCTTACAGAAACTGGGCTGTCTGTACTTTGTGATATGAAGGCGTGGAGATTAAGATGGGTAGTATATGTGGCTCGGAAACTCGATCGAACTGTAGAATAAACAAACATGCAACGAAGTTGCGGAGAATTAACTGCAAAGCAATGCAACTTTGTAGAATCTTCTTTAATCTTGCAGTTGATCTGGTATTCGAATTCTCTCGTGGTTTCTTACTATATTATCTTACTGTTTATTTAGGCGTTTATTATTGTGTAGTCGTTTGGATTTCTTCGGGCCATATGTCTTACCCATCTTAATCCACATGGCTTCATATCTTAAAATATAGACTTATAGTTTATGTAAAGTGGCATTCCAAGTTTGTGAAAGACATGTTCAAATGGTCGAAGATCAACAAAGTTTCTAAAGAAGTAAAGGAAGAAAATGAAACAATTAAAACATTTAAAAACAAAAGACAAATTCTCTAGGTCAGTATAGTAAGTTGATGATAGTAAGCTGAGATGAAGTAGTGGCATTAAGACCCTGGCACGTGCCGGCACTATCAACCCTAACGACCGCCATTACGCAACAGCCGCAACGAGAACCAGTTCCTGGATCCGAGCATGGCATAGCCGCAACGTGCGCCGATATGCGGCTGTTCAGGCGCCGCATTTATATGCGACGATGCTCGCTCGGGACGTGAAGAACATTCTGAGAGCCTGAGAGCTCCGCCTAATTCGTTTAGCAGATCTTTAAAGAAATTAGAAGAGCTTTCAATAATTGTATCCGTTCTTCCTGAACAACGCCTGGCATCTCATCAACATCTGGTCCGACTAGTGCATAAACGCTCGCTAACAAGGGCATGAGAGAACATACATTTACTGAAACATTTGTTTGTAATTATGTATATATATTTATTTATATACCACGGATTTAATTTTAGATTTAGAATAAAAGAAGTAAGTGAGGATGTGCAGTCAATAATAAATAATATGAGGGAGTAAACTTATTGTTGGATTGTCGACGTTTTGACTTACGTTTAAATTGAAAAAAAAAATAATTAGGATGATCTAACAATACAATTTATTTATTTACTTATTTTTTTTACACAAACCGGCCAGCAAGGACCACGTGAATATCATTTCCGTTTCCTCTTCACACCCTCATTCTTCCTCTTATTCCAATACTCTCTCATCCTCCTGGTGGACTGTTCCTCTTGCTCTTCCTTTGACCATTTTCGTCTCTCCCTCCCACCTAGAACCCCAAACCCTTTCAGTTTTTCCCTGAAAAGCTCTCTATCCAAGCAATCTTTATCCGTGATTTTTACCCTGTCTAGTTCCTCTTTTATTTGTTTTACATTCCATACTTTTATAGCTGCAAACTTTGTCAAAAATTTTCTTGTTCAGTCTTTCCCTATTTAGCCTGTCCATGTGTCCATAGTACCTCAATCTGCTGGTCCTGACGACTTTTTCCAAATCTTCCAGATTTTTGTATATTCCTTTATTGGATTTTAGCCTGTATCCCTCTCGCGTTACCTTGGGTCCGTGAATCCTCCATTCAATCTTCAGGATTTTCTCTAGGCTCGGAAGGCTGACTGTTTCCATACCATACAATATTACAGGTATTTTTTTGCATTTGTAAACATTTCTGTTGGCGAAGTTCAGTCTTTCCAGTTATTATGGTTATTCTTCCTTCGATTGATGCCTTTATTTATTTATTACAAATAATGTTTCATTAGTACAAGCCAGTGACATTCTTCAGGAGGTAAATAATCGCAATTAGAAGTAAAATATTTCTTTTTAACCTTAATTAATAGAAAATTCAATAAAGTTTTTGATGAATAATTTTCTGTTTATGAAACGATTTATCGAGCGAACGGCTGGATCAATTTTTAACTTAGATGGCTTAAATTATTTATATTTGTTTTTACCGTAGAAACTTCTTATATCTTAACAACAATTTATTCTGTTTCTTGAGATCTTTGAGTTCCCATTAATTAATATTTCTTTAAAATATATGCTGTCTTTAATAATTAGATAATTCGAATAATATAAATATAAGTCTAGACTATTTGTGGAATTTAACTTTACCAATATATTATTAAGATACAATTTAATAATAATGATAAAAGTATAATAAATTACAAGGTGTTGGGTTGGTAATCCTTTAAACTCTTTAATGAAATTTTAAAATATACTCAGTTTTTTATAACTTAACCAAAATATAACGCTGTTAATTTTTATTTATTTTGTTTTAGTATATTTTTTTAAAAAAACTTTTATTGTTCCAGGTCCAATGGAAGATGTGACGTGTTTTGTATCATCCTCGCCTGAAGGTTAGAAAATCTGCATTTCATGTTTTTGAAATAGTAAATAATATTTACGTTATACCTTATTTTTTCTAAGAATTAAAAAGGAAACGATTTAACCCTCCTTGCCTGTCGGCAGGTAGTAGCTAATGATCGAGGATAGTCCCTAGTTTAGGGACAATCAGTCCTAGACTAATAGACCGTTAGGCCTCTTCTAAAGGACTATAATTTTGCTCAGTTAGACATTATGGCTATTAGAAGAAACATTAATTCAGTCTTGGAGACTGAATGGTTTTAGGCCTGAGTATGTAAGGACACCACTTAGAGCTAGAAGCACTCAAATCGGTCTCTACAAAGAAAATATTGTTTTAAGTTAAAAATATCTTAAAAGTTGGTTTAGCATGTTTTCCAATTCATTGCAGGCATTATTACGATCATATTAAATTAAAATATAATTGATTTTTTTATTTAATGACTTTTAAAATATTAGTTATATGTCGTCACCATCTTCTTCTGTCCTGCCAATCTTCACGCATATATTTGTTCATCATTCCTGCATCATCATTCCTTCTTTCACATAACATCTTTTAAAATTTGGAAAAACTAAAAATTATAAGAAGTTCTATCACAAATTAATATCACAAGATGGTGAAAGAGTAGTATCTATTTCATCTATCCAAACTAATTTGAAAAACAAAGTAGTTATGCAATAAAAAATGACAAATTACGATTCTAGGTAATTCGAAATTACCTATAAGTTTTTTAACGTTTACGTTTTTTATATACGCACTTTTATTATAAAAATATATTTTAAATTGTAGATTTAAAAATCTGCTGATTGTCACTTCCATGATGGGTACGGATGAAAGTTTAAAAGAATATATTATATGTTTTTTCATGATTTTTTTTATTTGAAAATTAATACATTCTGCCACATTAGAGAGCAATTTTATTAATTTAATTTTTTTTTATCATTTTTTACTTCCAATTTCTGTAAAGCAGACAAAATTTGATTATCCGTATATGTCCGCTACTGAGAACTTTTACTATATATATATATATATATATATATATATATATATATATATATATATACAACTTGATAGCGGTAATTGTTACAGGATGGTCCGGATAGATAGAGACACTAATTAGGACTCGAACGGGACGGTTGGTACCCTTGACCGAGGCCGGGGTCACAGCCATCACGATCAGCAGCTGTTCTCGATTCTAACTGTTCCCGCCCCCGCCGTACCTCAACAGCTGTTCATGGCCTTCTGTATCGAGATACAGCAGCCCTAGGCTAATATACTTGCTGTTCGATAAATAATGTAATGGCGAATATCGCTTCTCGATGAAATATCGCTCGGTGCCCATGAATAACGATTCCTATTGTTCTCTGCCATGTCAAGAATCATAAATTAGTATAATTAATTAAAGCGTGAAACAACTGATGAATACGAGACCTTTAGCTTTATGGAAATGTTTTCTCAATACACAATGCTCTACAATGGGGAAGTGGAGGGGGTAGTCACAGGGTGGTATTATTAAGCATGGTATAAGATTAATTTATTTAACTATCATGAAGTAAAAAGTCTCATAGTGGAATGTGCTAGACGATTATGGAAGAATATGAAAAGCATGTTGAGGAATAATTCACCAAATAATAAAATACTTATAAGACAACTACATATGGTGTATGTTTTTAAGAATAGTTTGAACAACGATTATAAGAAAGTATATCTCGGACAGAACGCTAACATTATATAGCTGCCCTAATGCATTCGACTTATAAGTTAAATCAGCTAAGCATATATAATCAAACATAATATAATCAAAATATCTACACATAATTGGCGAATCTCACAGGCGGTCTACGGGGGGGGGGGAGAGGAGACTTTTGGGCTAAACCTCCCTCCACCCAAATGGTAAAATATAACCATGTTTAAAGACAAAAATTATCTCCAAAAGTATTATTATTTGTCTAATTACATTTAATAGGACTTACGGAATCATTTAAACACCATTTCATATAGGTAGTTAGTTTCTTTCTTCCTTCCGAAGTAATTATCCTAATATATAGATACAAAAAAAAAAATTTTCGGGCTGAAGCCCCCCTTCCAAAAATTAAATCCTGGATCCGTTAGTGGCTAAGCTTGATAACTTATCAAGCTCGGGTTCAGTGCTATTAAGGGAAAGTATTGTTTCAAAGCCAACGGGTGTACCGAGAGAGGAACAAGCCAGGATCATGCTCAATCACGAGGTTTTCTCACTTACTCAATTATTTAATTAAGGGTACCCACTTTGCAGATACTGGGTGTGCCCCAGGAGGATCTCGTTAGCCGAGGGTCGCCTCATGGCCAATGAAACAGAATTAATAATATTTCTGCTAAGAGCCGGGATTTGAACCTGAGAGTTTAAGCATTGGAACCAGTGCCCTACTTCTGAGCTGCCCCACTCCCTATTATATTAATATAATATTATCTAAATATAAACACGATTAGAACGTTCTATACTTAAATTATTTCACTCTCTGGGAAAAATTCTCGTACCCTCTCTAACACTTCACGTAAGACTCTAACTGGACAAACGTATAACTCATAGAATCCTTATACCAGACTGGGGACTATTTGGATTTACGAAAATGAGCTTTGGTGCTCCACTAAACTATTGAATTCCTTTCTTATCCAATACTTAACAATCTAAAATCCTTCGTAAAATCCTCAATGCACCTTACTTCGTTACAAATAAAATCATCCATAACGACCTTAATGTTGCATATGTTTCCATTTTGGCCCAATCCAGATACCTATCCTTCCATAATAAACTTCAGAACCATCATAATCCTCTCGGTTCTAACCTTGCTTCCTCTTCGATTCCTGATAACCTTCCGATGCGTTTTATATGATACTTACATAATTTTTATATTTTTAATAATCAAGACGAAAAACACATAAATAATTCCATATTTATTTTATATTAAGTTTCAATTACTTTAATAATAATTATATCTTGCTCATCTTCAAATAAACTTAAATTTAACAAACTTCACCTTTCAAAGTCATACTTTAGAAAACGTTACTCGAAAGCCTACTATACTTAAGGCGTCGTATATTTGTTGAGGGAAAAAAAGAAAATAAGACTGGGTATTTATAGGGTCGGTTTAAATTGGAATGACATGCTATCATCCCACAGTGGACAAAGGGACATTTATTCTACTCCCACGCGAGAAGATTTGGCAATCTCCGTATACTTCCTTGGAGGAAGAGAAGTTGCAATATATTTGCCCGTATTTATCTCAAAGCATCATCCAACAAGTTGTGTTTTTATTATTTATATCGATAATAACATTTGAAAAACTAACCAAACTTTATTATTGACTAATAATATCTTCTCTAACGAGGACCCACTTTTAAACGAACATGGACATTTCCGGTATACACAGAGCTATAATAATTATTAAGAATATGTAAATCATATTATTTTTTACTATAAAAGTTATCAATCCTGCTAATATTGAACCATTCTGATTGGCCATCGTTATATTTAATATTTATTATGGCCCAGATACTATTATAAAGCGTATTTAAACTTTATCGTTGGCTTATTACAAAAAGTCATTTAGTGTATTTTTTGATGTTAGTCCGGGTTACAGACCCCTTTTTATCGAATTCTTAACATCCGTCTGAAACTTCCTAAATAGTTTAATCTCATCGTAACCTACAACTATTTTATCTACGAAATATCTTGGAATTGGGTCGTTTTCAATCTGGAGGGAGGGAAACTTTGTCTATATAATTAGGTACTAAAAGCTCGTAAATACACATTTGCTTTCTACTTGGATTGTAAGATAATATATTATTTTCCTAAGTATAATACAATTACGTAGAATTACATGTCTTCATAAAATATAGGACTTGCCCACACGTACGAATCAAAACGCCGAGAATCCAAACTGTGTATAAGAGTCCACCAACGCCTCGCGGATAAAAACCGGAGAAATTCGATCCTACGCAGCTCGACCCCAAACAATGTGACTCACTTTTATTTCTGTCATTTCGGGTGGGATAATAACTTCGTGCCATGAGGGGTTGCTAAATATAATCAACGACGCATCAACATCAACAACGCTGTTAATCTTTTATTGAACTATTCTGTTACCTATTAGGTACTACTACTAGCTTTTAAAAATATTTATAAATTTAATAAATCTTGACTAAATTAAAAAACAAAACAAAAAAAACCTGTAGCACTACAACCCATGATGAACGGTCTTCTTGGGTTCAGTACTTTGTAAGGAAATTCTGTTTCTTGGTCAAATGTACTTTGATTACAAGGGGATCGTTTGACCGAGATCACGCTCAAACGCCAGATTTTCTTCCTTAATTAATTAATTGATTAATACCCATTTTATAGAGGCTGGGTATGTCCCAGGGGATCACCCGACCTTACGGTCGCTCCACTGCTGACGAAAATTACTTGACGTCAGCCGGACTCGAACCCTGGACCGTGAGCTTAGCTGCCCAGTGTCCTATTCATTGAGCTACTCCGATTGGAACCAAATCATTACGATTCATTCCTAGGCCATCTATTTAAATATTAGTACCATATATATTTTTTTCCTTGGGAGCTATAGTAGTCCGTGGTACACACCCCTATTTATGAAATTATTAACATCCACCTGAACCTTTGTAAATAGCTTCAGCTCTTCGTAACCTACAAATATTTTATTTGCGAAAATGTTCGGAATTGGGACGTTTGGAGGTACTAAAGGTACTAAAAACTCATCAATACCTATTTACTTTCCACTTGAATTGTAAGATAATATGATCACAAAATCGAAAAAAATGGTGGCCTACAAAAATATTGGGCCCTTTGGCCTATATAATCTCGTTATTTTGACATTTTGGGAGTGAAGGTCCCGCCAAACCAAATATTTTCGTAGACAACCTTTTTTGTCGATTTTTTGATAATATTATCTTAAGGTTCAAGTAGAAAGTAAATGGTTATTCATGATTTTTTGGTACTTAATTAAATTGGCAATCTCCAAATTCCGAAAATTTTCGCAATAATTACTAATAAATTATTTGTGTGTTACGTTGAGATGAAGCTATTTACGAAGTTTAAAAGGGATATTAATAATTTTATAAAAAGAAGTTTGTACCACTGACTATAGGCCATACTAGATCTTTGGCCTCGCGAAGTAATCTTCTTACAGACGAATGATTTTTAGATATTCCATCAAAATTTTTTTTAATCTATATTTATTTATCGAATAATACTACATTCTGACTTACCGAAGGAAAACATATAGTAGTGCTAAAGTTAATATTTCATTATCTGATATTGTCATCACGATTCTAAGAATAATTTATAATTAGGATCCAAATTTGACTTAGTTTTCCCAATTTTTAGTTGACCTTTTGTTAATAAATGTAATATAAATAAATATCACACTTAATTTATTAATTATAAGCTAAAAATATTTAGCCTATTTATAGACTACGAGCTATTCAGGCGACTAACGGACTGAGTAGAACTTTATGAAATTCTGAAATGGCGTTCGGTTGCACCATCGCGTGCCTCTATGTGCCATTAATTCCAAGCAAGAACTCTACCTAGTTTCGCTTCATTAATTATTCCAGTCTCTTAAGAGGAATGGTTTTCGAGTACATTTTCTTCAAAAGATAATCACTATTTATCTGAAAAAATCTATTTATTGAAGATCTAAACACTACCATCAAAAAATATAGTAATTTTAGACTCTTATGTAAGTCTTTTCTACCGTTATCTAGAGGGAGTATTGTAATAGTGTCAAATTTTCGATGTTCGATGTTTCAACAGATCTTTACTTTTCAGAGTCTCCTGGGTTCGATAAATACATTATCATTCATCGTCTGTCTTTCTGTGTGGCATGATAATCTTGCGAACGGATGAACCGATTTTGAATCAATAATCGGAGCTTTATTGCAAAAACGGCACTGACTATTTTGATGAAACTCTCCTACAGCCATATATTTAAAACCCTTTATGTATATGTGGTACATTCCAAAGAAAAAAGTTGTCAAGAAAATTTTTTTTTGCTGGGGGAATTTATATTAAGAATATGTATTTGTGTTAAATTATACATACAATTTAAAAATAATTAAATTCCTCACAAAACGAAAATAACTTCATGGAAATCGAACCTGTATTGTATAAGTTACAGCGTATTGAATTTTATTCACTGATTAAAATTTGTCTTAAATCGGTAGGAAAGTCGTGCACTGAGTGGACACACACTGAGATTACATAGATGATAAAAGTCCTTCTAGACTTAGCAGTTTTATGATTAATACAATACATGAATATGTATGATCTGTTATGTAATTTTCCAC